CCCCCCCCCCCCCTCCCTTAGCATAAATGCTCTGCACTAGGGACTGGTGCTGAACGAGATGAATCACTCGATGACCCTAGCCACGCGTGGATGAAGGAATCTCCCATGCCAGTTATAACCTACATCTGTTAGAATACCCAATAAAGAATGCAGCTGATCGCCTACAGTCATTGTTAGGCCGACGATTTTCCACCCGCCTTTTTCAACAAGTTGATTCAAAATTTACTTTTGTTGAGCCAGGTGGTGCCCGCAGGGCCACTCACAGACCAAATTCCGCATGATTTGGTGGCAGTAAGTAGCCACCAGGGAATTGCACATAGGCTACTGCTAAACAGGCATTTTCATTGACGCATAAATCACACAGAGTATGATTGCTTTCCTCAACCAACCTACCCATATAAACTATATAACCTTTGAGGGCCAAGTAATCTTACTTATGTAATAACTTACATCTTACTTATGATTTTGTTTCTGTAAATGTTTTTTCTCCTTTTAAATGGTGTGCAATGCATTCTGTGATTTATCGTCCTTATGATTCTAAGCACCATGTTATAGTAAATAAAACAACATTAGGTCAGACCTCTCTTAGGGATTAGTGCCAGACTGCCTGCGGAATGGTCGGACTAATCAACCCCTTGGGATTTGATTAGGTATAAATAGCAAAAATATGATTAGCTCTATTGGGAGTTGACTAGCACCAAAAACCAGGTCATGTATTCAAGGTTTTTAGTAAGTTAGTAAAGTTAGCCCAAGTACATGTTTAAGGATAGCAGAAAGGATGCACTGAAAAAAAAGGGAAAGAGTAAAAAAGAGAGACAAAAACTGCACGCTAAAATCATTGATTGCTCCTTTAATGCTCATTTTGATTATATTTGACCAGATACAAGATAGTTGCAATAGTTTCAAAACATATTGGGCACAATAGGTAATAATCCTGTTTCAAAGCATTTCAATGTTTGTCATTATTTGTGGTACTTGTAAATAGAAGGGATATACCGATACCGGAACTCCCATTATGGAAGCCAGGTGGCGTGTCATGACTCACCACCTGGCTTTCTGATTAGCCACCCGGGGGTGAGAGGAGTTCTTTATATTTTAATTGAAATAAAATGCGGGGGTAACCACACTGCATGGGTAAATTTTTTACATGCTCGGGAGTTCTTCTTTAAGGGTAGATTTGTAGTTTTTACACAATATAACAAACACAAAAATGCTTCATTTTGTCAGATAGTGTTCTATCATTTAATAATAAAGAGTTATATTTAAAATGTATTATCAGTTATATTGTTGCATTTTTGTATATTCTTTTTTTCTTTATAGCCAAAGGAATCTGGCTGAAATTACAGAACTGATCCACACAGCTTTCCTAGTGCACCGTGGCATTGTTAATATTGAGGAGCTGAAGAGCTGTGATGGTCCCCTTAAGGACATGCAGTTTGGGAATAAAATGGCTATTCTAAGTGGAGATTTCCTACTAGCAAATGCTTGTACTGGGCTAGCACAGCTACAAAACACTAAGGTATAGTAAAACCACATCCATATATTTATCTTTCTGTATGCTAACAGTGGACAGTTTGGAAAAAAAAGCTGAATTTAAAGTGTACCTAAATTCAAAACCAAATACGTTATTGCACATGTTCCTGTACTGTCGGAAAATGTAATAATTTTTTATGCCTTAAAGCCCAATCAAAACCTTTTTCTTAATTACTCTAATTCAGCCAAAAGTAACTGTGTGAAACTTCGAATTACATTATTCAGGTCTGTGATGGTATTATTAAATGTTCTGACAAGATTTTTTGTATGGAGATCTACCCGTGTATGGCCAAGGTAATACCCTGTGCTGTCAGCACATAGGAGATTTCACACAGCTTTTCCATATAAAACAGTGGTCTGGCTCTCCAGCAGTCCGTCATGCCCCGCTGGAGAGTTGGGCCGCTGCTTTGTGTTGGAAAACCACAGTTTAACACTCCACTCTTGCGTAAAACTTCAGTCTTCACTAGAAATTAATGGACATACAAATTATTGTTCTTGTGCTTAATATGAACATCATGGCAAATTTCTCTTTCAATCCACGCTGGCTGGTGTGACCCCAAGCCCTGAAGACTCCCGGTGGGGGGGGTGGTGTGTGTATGCTTGCCGGAAGCGAGTTAAGCTGCGAGATGCTCTCACATTGGATGGGTCAGTGCATGAGTCCTAGCCCCTATTTCCTCCCTCCCCTCCATGTCTGTGTCCTATTGCCTGGCCTTTCCTAGTTGCCTGGGTCCCTTGTCTGCTAACCTCCCAGCTATTGGCCCCCTCCCCCCTACCAAGTCCATGGTGCACAGTTTAGAGGGTTCCCCCTGTCCTCCTGGGCTCTCCCCCTTCCCCTGCACGGGTCCAAGTTCTGTGGCCGGTCTCCGGCAGCCATCTTGCCAGAGCCTACAATTCTACTGCGCATTTGTGTGCTTGGTGCATGTGCACTAGGCCCCAGCAGCCATTTTTCCGGAGTCCCTCTTGTGACAGAGGGGTCCAGTCTGAACCCACTGTACTTCAATAACACGTGACTATACGCAGTTCTGAACCGAGCGAGCCGTCGCAAGGACGGGGTGATACCACTCCCATCTTCCCGCTGGACAGAGATTTCCCAGTTTACGGGACAACAATCAGGCCAGCAGACTGAGAGCGATTGGCATTAGGGTTGGTTAACTGCGTAGTTAACCCTTTACACGCCAAACAGCTGTAACCACGTGTTTTAATGGAAACACGAACCGTTTTCAGCAAATGCTGTGACAATTCAAAAACTTAAACAAGGCCTATGATACCACTGTTCTGAAAACGGAGGATCGGACCCTGTCTCTGGTGCTGAAGCCTAGCCATCTCCAGTTTTTGCAGATGGGCTGATTTCCTCTCTCTCTCTCCAGCCTCTCTTAGCCGTGCGCTCGAGGAACTGCAGGTACGCAAAAGGAAGTGTAACCATTATCCTTTGCAGAACTTCTTGCAGGTGAGAAGAGTCTCCGCTGGGTACAGGCTTCCTATTACTGGCCTGATCACACTGTGGGTTGGAGATGTTATTCGTCATGACCTCTGTACTCTGAACCATGATCTTCCGAGGCCGACCGCACCCTTTCCTCTGATCTCAACAGGATCTGCTCTCTCTGGATATCCACCTCATGTCCTCCCGTGATTTACTTTACATTTCTATCTGCCTTGCTTGACACAGAATAGTCAGATCATCTTTGCTCATTTTCTTGTACTCTGTCAGACCAGGCATGTTTGCAAAAATAAACAATAGGACAAAAGCAAAAGATGGGTGGGAATTATGGCTATTACTTACAAAACTATGCACTGACTTATCTCTAAAGACTGTTTCCAGAAAGGTTACAATCCTTTAGTGTAGCGTTAAACTCTAACACTACACTAAATGCTCTAAACAGAACTATCCCACTACGCTGCCACCAATATGTGATGGAGGGGCCTGGTCCGAACACACTGTACTGTAATAACACGTGACTCTATGCAGTTCTGAACCGAGCGAGCCATCACAAGGCCGTCACAATATCACTCCCAGCCTCACCCTGGACAGAGATTTCCCAGTTCATGGGACAACAATCTCAGACCAGCAGACTGAGAGTGATCCGCACTAGGGTTGTTAACTCTGCAGTTAACCCTTTACACACCAAACAGTAGCTGCCACCACGTGTTTTAACGGAAACATGAACTGTTCATGGCAAATGCTGTGACAATTCAAAAACTTAAAGCTTATGATACCACTGTCCTTTCAGACAGGAATATGACAGGTTTCACTATACAGTAGCGCTCTTCCTGGGAAAAGGGATACCTTAAGTTCTTATTTAGAGCGTAAAGATAAGCTTAAAGATTTTATAGTTCATCCTTTAAAAAAGAAACGTTGCAGGAAAAAGGTATAGATGTTAAGAAAGAGCGACCGAGATAACAGTAAAGTAAAAGGGAATAAAAAGAGAGTACTTAACAGTCCTGGGTTCATAAGTTCTGACAGAGTCCAGTTTAAAAAACAGGAGATGGATCTGAATGGCTCTTTCTCCAAGTAAGGCTTGCGAAGATTCTTTCTTGATGTTAAAGGGGAGCTCTTCTGGGATGTTACACGAGCTTTGGTGTTACAAAGCTTCTTGATGTTATGAGAGCTTCCTTTTGATGTTAAATCCTCTGCTCCTCCCAAACTGTCAAATTCATAACTATCCACATAGCTTAATATTCTTAACTATTACTGTCCGATAACCCCTAAGTTATTGTGCGTCATGAAATTAGCTTTACATTGGGACTAAACTTAACGTATATGTGAACTATGGCTGGCCCAGGAAGGTGAATGTGGCTTGTCAGGCCTCTAACCATTGTAACCTACCCATGATATGTGTAGATTTCTCTTAATGAGACGCAACTATTTATGCAATAAATTTTACAATATTAGTCTCCAATTCCAAGTTATGAAAATTGGGTTAATATTGTCACTCTCAGTTTGACTCAGTGGGATACCAAACAGTCCTCCCTTATTCACCAGGCAATCTGTGGGGAATTAGCAGAGCTGTGCAAGTCAATTACCATGGTATTAGCGATTTATTACACCTATCATAAAAGATCATTAAGGGTAATCTATCCCAGGCCTAGGGAAAGCTCTAGATAAACAATTGGGTTTGATCAAAAAGACCAGATTAGCGGGTATCTGATGCTGGAATTTGAGGATGGCTAAACAGAATTTGGGGCAGCCTGAGGTAATTTGAAGTGAAGGCTGCATTTTTTCAAGATGAGGAAAGAGAGAATTTCATAATATAATAATATTAATGTTCTCCATCCTCATTACCGTCACATAATGGGTATGCGCAGTAGTTGCTCCAATGGCCATTTTGGAGCTGGAGCTGAATTGCAGATGAGCGTGGAGGGACAAAGCAAAGGCAGGGCAGCGGTGGCATGCCAACACCTGCAGCATTTAGATTTTTTGGCGCCATTAAGCTTATGCGGAGATACACTGCTCTTGTCTCCTGGAAGGAAAGAGCTGTTTTTTGCACTAAAGGCTGAAAGGAAAGGTGGCTGAGGGACTGAGGCAATGGTCAGAGAAGGGCCTTCACCTAACTGTGAGTACCCTTCGAGCCCCTCACGGTGGCTGTATTCAGATATAAGGGGACAAAGGGTAAAGGGGGGACCAGTACGGCACGTGGTATTAGGCATGGTGGATTACCTAAAGGTTCCCCTTAGGAGCTGTGCCATTGATTAAAGCATCAGGCTGCAGAGGGCATAAACACAGTCCCCCTTCTCCTACCCAGTTTCTCAGTCAAATTAGGATATAGCCTGTTCTTTTTCCTGAGCAGGATGAGGGTGGTGAGGAGTTGGAAAGTGGTTCTTCCGATTTGGAGGATTTTTCCATGGAAGAAATAACATCAACAATGCTTTTGCCAGAATTGTATAACGCCATATCAGTCTTAAAGGAGAACTATGGGGTTAAGGCTTTTCCCCATAGTTCTCCTTAGGGTAACGGGAGGACACAAACTAGCGTCCTCCCGTTACACTAAGCTCAGTATACCGCGAGCTACAGCTCGCGGTATACTGAGAAGCCACAGCTGAAGCGGATCCCGATAATTATGTCTGGATCCACTTAGCTGCATGAGTGACAGCTGGCTCTGCCTATCTAGAGGCAGAGCCAGCTGTACCCGCCCCCTCCCCCGTCCGTTCCGCCAGTCAGCGCTGGAGGATCGGAGCGGGGAGGGGGGAATCCCTGCAGGGAGCCGCTCCCCTGTCCCCTGCCCCTCCCCTGTCACGGCAGAGAGCGCGTGACAGGATCGTGAAGTGAGCGAACGCCGGTATGTGTTCGCTCACTTCCCGATCTACTGAGACGACCTGTGACAGTCTCATTGTCACAGGTCGGCTAGAACTATGAGGTGAGTGAAAAGCACTCGCCTCATAGTTCTCCTTTAATCAATGAGGTGAGGAAATTCTTCTCCAATAATCCTCCAGTGAGTGACCACAATTATGGGTTCAATAAAGAGGAAAAAGGCCCCAAAGACTTTTCTGGTACGTTCTCTGGTAGAGGAGGTTCTATATGATGATTGACAACACCTGAAAAAAATTTCACCTCCAAAGCGTTTTGCTCAGCATAACCCTTTTTAGGAATGCTTTCGCAAAAAATGGATTGTTCCAGAACAATTTTACTTGAGCTAGGAGGGTTTCTGAGCTAGCAGCCCTGTCCTGTAAGGAGCCTTTTCTTATTCTTCATGGAAAAAAAGGTAGTACATAAGCCTAAGGATTCCTTTCTACCAATGGTGGTATCATCTTTCATCTTAATCAGGATATTGTTTTTCCCAAAAGATCCTAGGGAAGCGTCGCTACATTGTTTGAATGTTATATGAGCATTAAGGGTCCATCTCAATGCCACTTCTTCTTTCAGGCAATCAGCTTATCTGTTTATTCTTCCAGAGGGATCTCACAGGGGTTATCCTGCTTCTTGTTACATTGTATCTCAATGGCTCAGGCAGGTCATTCTTCAGGCCTACTTTAATAGAGGCATAACTCCAC